CCCCAAAACCCCAAAACCCCAAAACCCCAAAACCCCAGTATGACAATCTGAAACTGAAAGGTTTATGTCTTAGATACCTTCTATGGTGACATTTTGCATTCCGCAATCTGTTTTAATAATTTCTTCTGCCTTTTGCTTATTCAGACCGCAACAATCAAGAGTGATAGTTAGAGGCCTAGCCTTGATTGATTGGACCTTGGATAATCCTTTTATGATGCTTCTCAAGGAGGCGTAGTCATTGGTTTTCCAATTGCTTTTCAATCCAGAACCATAAAAATCAATCTTTTCAAAGCTAGAATCGTCAAGCTTATTCCTAAAATCTCATTCTTCGTCTATTTTTATTTTTCATAAGACGAACTCTATCACTTTCACATCTTTGGCGACTACTAATAAGTCTACAAACTCACTGCTAGACACTGAAAAGTTAAATAAACCCAAATATTCAGAGATTTTAGGGATAGCTTTTAGTAACCCCGCCATGTACTCAGAGATAGAGTCATACTTGTCACCATCCTTATTAAATTCTAATCGCTTAGTTTTAAGAAGCAATTCATTATTATTTCCCTTGGCATCAGAAGAAAAAGCATTGGTCAAGAATCTGTTTATGGTTTCTGGGTTTATAACTGTAGGATTTATGTCAAGGGAAACTAGTTCCAGTGGTGGTAGTTTATAGGATTGGAGAGTTTTCAAAAGAATTACATCTTTTCATTCACAATTTGCACTTATTTCAATTTCAGATGATTCATCAAATGTCTCTTTTGAACCGTAAAGGGTGTTGTAAATAGTTTCTAGTTCTTGATATGAGAGATCTGAAGGAAGAGCATCCTTTTCAAGGGTTTGTATAGTTTCTTTCATTTCCTCAATAGTTTTTTCTTGTTTTTGTTTTTCTTGAATCTGTTCTTGCCTTTCTATAAATGAAATAGTAACTTTCTTGATGTTTAGCAGACATTATAAATATAATAATATCTCAGGAGTTAAAAGTTAAAATAAAGGGAATCTTCAGACACTAAGAAATATATTCTCTAGGAGACATCTAAGCCTTCTTTTAATCTTCAGGAACAAAAGAATGGGGAGATAAAATGTGAACCGAAAATGATAAAAAATCTAGAACACAAACAGAAAGATGTATTCTGTTTAAAAATACAGAGTAGGGTTGGTAACAAAGTAATACACAGAAGGTCGCTTTCATTGGAAGATTGCTTCATACTAATGTCTTTACCTTCAACAAGTGTTTCTAGTTTGTGCTCAAGATCGTGCTTTTCCTGAAGAACTTCTTTAACCTCCTCTTTACTTTCTTTGATTTGTTCTTCTCTTTGCTCGATCACCTCATCTCTCTGTTTGATCACCTCATCCCTCTGTTTGATCATCTCTTTTCTTTCATTAGCCTCGTCTTTAGCTTCCTTCAGCCTCTCGTGGAGACACTTGATCTCTCTTGTTTCTAGATAGCTAGATAGCTGTTTGAGACAAGCCTCAAGCCCTTGCTCTGGAGCTAAACTACTGAGAATATCTCCTGTTTCAAACTCATTACGATGAAATTTCCTTCTCTTAGATTTCATCAACTCAAAATTATAAACACGATCCAAGAAGTCCTTCAGATTTTCAAACAACTGCACCATCTTAACCCACTCTTCACTATGTTGAATGGCTCCAAAGGCACCTAAAACCAATAAATCATCCTTTCATAATCGATAACTTCTCTCCTTCCCCCTCCTCCACCTCCTCCACTCTCCCTCCCCCTCACCCTAGGCTTCCTCCCTCCTCTCCCAACGCTCTTCCTCACTGCCACTGTCCAGCCAGGCTGCTGAACAGTGGCCAAGCGAAGGGTGAGTGAGGAAGTTTAGAGGAAGTGGAAGGGAAATAAGGGTCTGGATGATGGATGCAAAGGGAGGGTGGAGAGGAGGAGGAAGGGGGATTTGGGGAGGAAGGGGGATTTGGGAAGGAATGGAGAAGAGGAGGGAATGGAAGTGGAGGAAGAGAAGGTGGAAGGTAGTAGAGGGGATGTTATGTAATGGGGGATTTGATGGCAGTTGGAGTTTAGAAGATAAGGAGGTGATTGAAGGCAGAAATTGATGAAGATGTAATATCTCCTCTTGCATTGACAAATCGGAAGTAACGATCTTACCTCAAAACTGTCTGTAGGTTCTCTTAAAAGAGTTTAGTTCTGACTCAAAAATGTTCCACTTCTTGTCTAATCTGTGAGTGTTCATTTGCAAACTCATTTGCTTGAGAGCAAAGTCCACTATAAAACTTTTAGAGAAAATTTTCAAAGGAAAGGAAAGAATTCAAAACTCAAATAGAATATCTGTGAATGAGCTTTAGTCCTTCTTATTTTGAACTAGAGCAACTGTAACAAGTCTTGCATGCTAAGAGAAGCAAAGTTGGTCATGGCTTAGTACCTGAGTGCAGAGTCTCAACAATCAGTTCTGTTGAAGGAAGAGCAATATTAGGTTCACCACTGTAGTTGAGATGCACACAGTTTTCACAAACGTAGATGTCATTATCAAGCTGATTTTGCTCAGTTCTTTTTACTTGGTAAGCGATCTTGTCACAGGATTTCGTCAATTCGCATTTTGGCAGGATATACATTGCAATAAAATTAATTTGTGATTAATTAGAAGTATGATCAATTTAAAATATACTCTCAGGGGTTTTGGGGTTTTGGGGTTTTGGGG